TCTCCCTTTCTCCCTTCTTCCTTCATTGCATCTTTCTCTTCTCTCCCTTTTCCTCTCCTCCATCATTCCATCTCTCTCTCTTCTCCCTTTTCCCCTCCTCCATCATTCCATCTCTCCTCTCCTCTCCTTTTCTCCCCACTTTCCTTCTCCCCGCTCCCCACTCCCCCCGCCCTCTCTCCCTATCCCCTCTCCCTTTTTTCCCCTCGTGCGAAAGTGTGAGGAGGAATCCGGGGGTTGCTTTTCCAGGCTGTTGCTTGCTGTGCCTCTGCCTTGCTTTGCTTGTTGATTATGATGGGCAGCGTGGTTTTGCTTGTGTTTGTGTTTGTCTGTAAATGTCTATGTATGAATGTTTGTGGTTTCCGTATATGTATGTCTGGGTGTGTTTTTTTCCCCTTTGTGCAAGTCAGTGTGTTTTTTTTTTGTTTTTTTTTATATGTATGTACAAGTCTGGCTGTTTATGTTTTTTTGTGTGTATGTATGGATGGGTCTGTGTGTGTGTGTTGAGGAAGTGATATGTTCGCTATAGTTCGTCTGTTTTATTTATTTTTAACTGTAATTTTTTTATTGTTTGAACATGGTGCCGATATTACTAACTATAACAGCAAAGGATAATGAAAGGGATTTGGGTATTACGCTGATGGCACTGATAGTCATGGACACCAGCTTATCTGTATGTATCCGTATAAACGTGTCTGTCTGTGTGTTTTATGTGTGTGTGTGCGTGTTCATGTGCGTGCCAGCTACGTATATTCGTAAACGTGTGTGTTTGTCGTGTATGTTAGTATGTGCGTTCATGCTTGTATAAGTTGCATATATTGGCAATGTATGTGCATGTGTGTATTTGTTGTGTGTGTGTGTGTGTGTGTGTGTGTGTGTGTGTGTGTGTGTGTGTGTGCGTGTGTGTGTGCCTGTGTGTGTACGTGTGCATGCATGCCGTCCCTCACAGAGGCGCATCCAGCAAGCATAAAGGCACGGGATAAGTGAGGCTCCGTGTCATCGCAGGCCGGAAGAGCCGACGAAGGCAGAAGCAGCGGAGAAGAGGAGGAACGAGAAGAAAAAGCGAGGCGGGCGTTTCGGAGCCTGGCATCGCGAGGAGGCGTCCCACTTAATGCCATTACGAGAGCAGTGAGTGTCTGCCCGGCCATTTGTCTCAGGCTGGCACCGGGCGTAGGAGGGCCGGGCGGAGGGCCAAGGCGGAGGGCCAAGGCGGAGGGCCAGGCGGGCACGGCACCCCGGAGGCAGCTCGAGGGCCCCCGAGTGCCTGCATGGAGTGCCGCCAACCACCCATTACTCTTCTCTGCCCCCTTCCCCCGCCCACGCTCTCTTCCCCTCCTCCCTTCCCCTCCTCCCTTCCCCTCCTCCTCCTCCTCCTCTTTCTCCTACCACCTTCCCCCTCCTTCCCTCTTCCTCCACCTCCTTCCCTCTTCCTCCTCCTCCTTCCCTCTGTCTCCTCCTCCTCCTCCTCCTCCTCCTACCACCTCTTCCTCCTCCTACCCTCTCCCCCTCCTCTTCCCCTGCTCCTTTCTTCTCCTCCTAGCTCCGCTATTCCTTCTGCGCTCTCCTATCCTTTCTTCTTTCTCTTGCTATACATCTCCTTCCCCTGCCCACGTCAAACCCTCCCTCCCCCCTCCCTCCCTTCCTCCGCTCTCCCTCCTCCTTTCCCCCTCCCCACCTCCCCTCTCTCCTTCTTCCCTTTCCCTCCCCTCCCTGCCTACCCCTCCACCCTCTATTTCTCTTCCCTCTCCTCCTACCCCTCCGCCCCCTATTCCTCTTCCCCCACCCCCTCACCCCCTCTTCCTCTCCCCCCACCCCCCCTCCCTCCGCCGCTCCGAGTAGGGTATTGAGGTCTTCCGGAGCCAAATCAGAATTCGACAAGAAGCATTTTCCTGTCGTCTCTCTACGCCTTTTGTCGAACGTCGAGCGGGCTATGACATGTGGAATATCGTTGCGGGCGGTTTTCTCGTGCGGATTCTAGGGCCCCGGTGTGAATTTCGCGGAATTATTTGGCCGTTGATGTATAGCCGAGTTTGCAGCGGGATCCGGGGTCTGCGTTCGGGTGGGAGGGGGGTGGGAGGGAGGGGAGGGGAAGGGGGGGAGTATTTGCAACGTGGCTGGGACGATCGTTGCTATTTTTATTTATTTTTTTTTTAGTTTTTTTTTTTTTAATTCTTAGTTTTTTGTATTTTTTCATGTTTTTATATTTTTCTTGTTTTTATATATTTCTTTTTTTCTTTTCTTTTTTTCTTTTTCTCTTGTTTTTTTTCTTGTTCTTTTATCCTTTTTTTGTTGTTTTTAATTTTTTTTTCTTTTTGTTTTTCCTCTGTTTTTAAATTCTTCTTCTTCATGTGTGTGATGCGGCGTGTTCGGGCGTGTCTGTTCATCGGTTGGGGTAAGAATTCTGATGATTGTTATTGTGGTGGGAAACAAAAGGCGAGAGAGAGGTAAAAAGGAGAAGAAAAAGGAGCTGATATTGTATGACATGAAAGGAGAGATCGGGAAAAAGCAAGCAAAATGGAGGAAGGAGGGAGAAAAGACTACGCTTGCGATGTTT